ATGTAATGATATATTTTTGAGGCACTGTATGAAATCAAGCAAGATTTGTTTTCTCTGCATGTTTTAGTAAGGGACCGTCCTCATATTTAATCAGATGCAATAAACGATTGGATTTAGAGACATAAAAAGAATAAATGTAAACAAGAATATGACAATCTTTCGCACGTCGCGGAAAAAACTGACATTTGGTATGGAGCAATGTCGACCTTACAACAAAGAAAAACTTAATGAACAATTTATATACCTCGACAGACGCACGGTTACAAAAGTAGTACCAGCCGAATGCAGCGAAGGTTGTTTGAATCGGGTGGTGCCGCCTAAAAAAGAATTATATGTACCCGCTCGGAAAGCTGCAGTAAAACGGATAGTTAAGGCGTTGAAGCCAGAAATGTGATAATTGACCACAAATGTAAAAGTTTTCAAATGTAATACACATGAACCACAAGTGTAATAAGGCCCTCATATGAAATGAAAACCGTAGTTTCTTAACGTGTATTGTTTTTTTATAACAATATATTTCGGCTGGCCATACCAGCCTTCTTCAGGTTTACAGATCAAGAAGGCTGGTATGGCCAGGCGAAATATTGTTATAAAAAAACAATACACGTTGTTATGAATCAGCTTTGCAGTAGTCTTTGGACTTCTCGTTTTTGGTGCTTTCTACTTACATGTTTCCAGCAGATGCTGCCCTGCCACAAGTTTTTGATAAAACGAAAGATCAATAAATCATACGAAAAGACATGAACGATTCCTGGAATTCTGTGTTAGATTTGCTAGTATACTCAAAATGTCCAATTAAATGAAATTCTGGACCACAGGTACAAAACACTAGCCCTTAGACATCATTAACCCTTCTTGATGATGGCACGTCTTGTTCGGAATGGCATAGCAGATTTTGCGTTGCTGTAAACACTGTGTGAAACAATTCAAAGGTACTGTCGGGAGTATAGCTGAAAGCATGTCTGTTAAATTGCCAGCCACACTAATTATCCAGCCAGAATATGTCTTCTACACTTGGGGAAATACACAAAGTTTGTGGGTTCCATTATTTTGTCAGCAAGTAATTATTTCTCTCTGGAGACGCTCAGTGCTGCAGTAAAGACTGCTGTGAGTGCTTTTTAAGTCGCCCCAGTGATGGGAATTTGACTCAAAATGGAGACCCAAGGGTGGGGAAATTGACATTTGAAAACTGAAAATGTAAAATTTCCCGTGGGTTCCCCCCCCCCCCCCCCCCCCCCCCCCCCCGCTCCACCATTTTTACTTGCAACAGCATAAAAAAAAATCATCAAACACACAGCAACACAAAACAAACTCGTATTGGTGGGCGTGGGAGGGGAGCATAACATAGGTATAATTTTGATTCTAAACGCTACGAATATAATCTTTTTTTTTTATTGTATTTCTCCTCTTTTTTTCCCCCCCCCCCCCCCACCCTCCCATCCTGGGACAAACTATTGATAGGTGCATCAGATCAAGAAAACATTGCGTAACACTCGCATAAAACGTGACAGTTCATGTGTGTCGGCGTAGAACGTGTACGAAGAATTTGACATATACTGTACTCACAAGGTATTATCATAAATTTTCTTGCAACTTGACTCTATCCTATCTGTAAAAAAAAAATCATTGACAATGCGTCATTCCGTCATTTATTCATTCAGGACAGTGCGCATGGCCTTCGAGCGAGTACGTCGCGCTATTTTGCGCTCTTCAAGTAGTTAGTTGAGGGTCTCAATGGCATAGGCGTACGGGAATTTTTTTGCCAGCGGGGGCGGTAAACCATTTGCCCAAAAAAATCTCGCAAGTTGCCCAAATTTTTATGAAAGAGTCGAAAAGAAATGAGGGCCATATTGCAACAACATAGGCCGTCCTGGCATATGAAGGCGGCTCGATACAGTTTTTAAGGGTCAATAGCATAAACTACGTCGCCATAAACGAACATTTGGAAACATTGCGACCACAGTTGTATTATTAAAGATGAAAATTTGTCATCATCCGGGTTGCAATGACATCGGAGTTGTCATAGCAACGAAATAACTCCTTTATCTATTTTTACTTCAGCAATGATTCTCGGCACGGGAACCTTACAAAATCGTTCACAGGAGCTTTTTTCTCCAATACGGTCGCCTCGATGTTCGTGAAGTTTAAGCAAAGCCTTAAGAGTGTTATCGAGATATTTTGGAATTAAGTTTTTATTATTAGAAATACGGTAAGAAAAGGAAAATCTTGATTTTTGGCCGTTATCTGTAGAAAACGAAGCACCTCATAGTAGTTTAAATTTTTTTAAAAACATGTGTGAAAGATCGTGGAGATAGCTCTGCTTGATTGCGGGAATGGAAAGAAGGTTTTTCATTAGTATGTATCGAGACACTCTTGTTAGCGGTTTTGTAAACATTTCGGTCTACTTTTAATAACAAATTAGCGAATAATTTTAAACCGCTCGATAAATTTTTTGAAAGAATTAAGATTCTTCACGTAATTCAAACTGAGAATTAATCAGCCACTTCTTCATTTTCATACCCATTGTAGCCTTCGTAGCAAGCGTTTCCTGTCGAACTCGCGCGGAAACGCGTGCTATGCAGGCTATACCCATTGCTAAATGCTATCTACTATACACTGTTCTTCGAGTGGAGATGATTCTAGAAAGTTATGCGAAAGTTTATTTTAATCAATTCACGACTGGAAATAGCCCATTCCAGCTAGTGCAGTGCAGTATAGTGCCCAACAAAAAACCCCTGCAAATATGTAAATTTCTCATCAGATGCTAGGCAACCACTGTAATGTAACTGGATTGTTACGCCGACTTCAAGTTAATATTCAGGTCTTTATAAAGTAATTAAATAAACATGGAGACGTCTTTAAAAACTGGCTTTGCCCAAATTTTCTCTCGCTGCCCAAAAAATCCGAGTTGCCCAAAAGTTGGGGGGGCTGCAGCCCCCCTCGCCCCCCCCCCGGCCCGTACGCCTATGGGGATAACGAAATAGGCGTAAAACGGCCAAAAATTTAGTCGATAGCCGTAAAAATTGAAAAATTTTAACCGTTAGCCGTAAATAGGGTAAAAAAGAGTTAACCGTAAAAGAAATTGTTCCCTAGATTTGTTAAATTTAAGGAAGGTGCTAAACTCGCTTCTGGTTACGTTTTTATTCCCCGGCTACTTTTGACTCCGTACGCACGTTAGGCCAACCCCCTTTAGNAGTTGCCCAAAAGTTGGGGGGGCTGCAGCCCCCCTCGCCCCCCCCCCCGGCCCGTACGCCTATGGGGATAACGAAATAGGCGTAAAACGGCCAAAAATTTAGTCGATAGCCGTAAAAATTGAAAAATTTTAACCGTTAGCCGTAAATAGGGTAAAAAAGAGTTAACCGTAAAAGAAATTGTTCCCTAGATTTGTTAAATTTAAGGAAGGTGCTAAACTCGCTTCTGGTTACGTTTTTATTCCCCGGCTACTTTTGACTCCGTACGCACGTTAGGCCAACCCCCTTTAGGTGTTGACCTAGACCTAGGCTCCATTTCTGCCGCTCTCTCGAATAATCAAGTTTTTTCGATAGCAAAAATTTGGCTTCTTGCTGGGGATTAATATTTGGGATTTTCAGGAGGTTATGCCCTCGAAATACTAGTGAAACAACACGCAGAGATGTCACTGTTTGTAATTAAAAAACACGTTACCGATAAACAACAATTCCCTGTTTTTCTCTGACGCTACGGTAGACATTGCCATGCCTATTCCCTGTACGGCTTCTTCCCACGCAATCTCGGTCAAGGCATTTCCGTGGCGTATCTGAGAAAAAAACACTCGTTTGGACCACGTAACCCGAAAAGCATTAGCCACGCGGAATAATGAGGCCTATGGACAAGGCAACGGCAGAGAGTCGTTCTGTACAGTCCTTTGCTACTTACTGGAAACGGGAATTTTGTTATTGGCAGTTTTAACACTATAGCCAGAAATGGATTATCCGTCTGAGACTAGCCTGTGTAAAGTCGCCCCCTTCCCACAGACACCCCTTTTCCGATTTTTTCTGAGGGGAGGGGGCGGCTGTACACAGGCAGGGTATCTGAAACGGATAATCCATCCTCAAACTGTCCGTCAAAATTGACGGATAAAGTCAGGCGACGGATAACCCGTCTCACTCGAATAATCCGTCTCTAGTGTGAAAACGGCCATTTCTGTTCTAAATAAATGTCGCGCCCCGGCCTTGAGTTGGGCGTTCGCGCGTCTGCTTTTGCTTTTTCCCAAAGATTAATTTTAAATTGACTATTGACATTTCTATGCGTAAAATAATATTAGAGGTGGAATACTTTATAAAAAGTATGATCTATCAAATGTGAAAATTTTTCAAAAGAATAGCTTATTTCATCCCGAGATGATCCTAAGGCCTTTAATGTTTTGCTTGAAAGACAAAAAAGTACTGGTTTAGTAATATTTAACTCTTTGAAACAAAAGATATTAATTTTTAACTTTTTTGTTAACCGTAACTGAAAAAAATTAACCGATAGCCGTAAAAGAGCCAAAATTTTAGCCGATCATTTGGACCCTTTTAGTTCTGATCTCTTTAATTCAATCTCTACCAACCAAAATTTTCAAAGCAAAAGAAAACGAGAGTTTTTGACGTAATTACACAATTTCTGTTAAACCTGATTCACGTAAACCGAGCCTATATCTTGAAGTGCTCAGTGGTATATATATTTACCTTTATAAAATAACTAAGATGGTACGCGCGCTGTGATTGGAACTCATAGAAATCGTACAGTTATATTTAAAAAAAACAAGAGACCACACTTTCAATGGGTTTAACGGCATGATAACCCACTTGGGATGTTGGGAGAACACGAGAAAAGCTTGTAAATCACGAGCCGAAGGCGAGTGATTTACAAGCTTTTCTCGTGTAATGACACACGAGCTTTTCTCGTGTAATGACACACAAGCTTTTCTCGTGTAATGACACAGAAGGATCCAAGTAAAGGGTTCCACAAAGATATGATAAGACATATCTCACTAAAATAGT